ACGAATTCCGTGGCGAGGTTTGGCTACTCCAACGCATATCGGCAGTCTTTGTTCAACATTGGGCACTTTGAGCCGCATAAGAGTTCGGTGGCGTCATTGAGGGGTTCTAGGAGCTTCATGATATTTCGTGTTTGATTCCATTCTGCTGCAGATAAGAGGAACTTTGATGCTTCTGCGTTCTGTTGGCAGAAATGGGTGCAAGACTTCTCAAGCAAAACCACCCGCTCAAGCATCGAATATGTTGCGTTCCATCGGGTCGGTACATCGATCTCAAGGCCTTTGATCTTTTTCGCAAACATCTCCGGTTGACAAGAGTGGACATCGACAGCAAACCTCTGGCGGCGTTGAGGTGAAAAACGAACCCAGGTACAAAGGCCATGTACCCTCTTGATGATCGTCTGTGCATTGATGCCCTCTCCGTCAGGGGTCGATATCAAGGAATTGATATTCATTGGATTGGTTTCAGATCGACCGGTCGATTCTGCATCGGCTGTGGCCATTGATATCTCTTGGCCATCATCAGTCTCTTCGATTGATCCAAGGGCGGCGATTCCAATCTTGGCCGCTAGATTTATGACGTGTGCAACACACCCAAGAATCTGAGTGGAACTCTTGAAGTGAGGTATTTGTAGGTCGAGCTCCGGAGCCATTTTTCCGTTAACCGAGGCGTTGTCCGCAGTGATTGTGTGCAGTGAATCTATCACTGAGTATTTCTCAAGGGTATCGTAGAACAACTCCGCAAACTTTTGGCCGCTATGGGTTCCTGTTGCACAGAGATTGGTTAATGGGAATTCATGCAATGCACATTAAGAAAAAGAAACTCACCTTCAACGTGTGGAACTCCCAGGGTCAGGTCACACATTTTAAAGTTTTCATCAATGAAGTGTGCTGTCACTGCCATAAAGGCAGTAACATTTGGGGCCGTCCACGCGTCTTGAGTGAATGAGATTGAAATTTGATCTTTCAGATAGTTCGTTTTGATTGTTTTTTCAGATTGATCAAACATACGGCCAATGTGTGTCGCAATTGATGCTTGGCTAGTAGTGTTAACTAAAGGCATGGCCTCTTCATTGAGGAGGGCAATCAGTTCTCGGAAAGATTTGCGTTCAACGAATGCAAAGGGGAGGTCGCAGTCGGCAATCATATAGACTAAGGCAGACCGGAGTGTTTCGGAATTCAATTCAGTCTACATGTTATATAGCAAAAAATGATTAGTGCAAGTGCTCATATATTTCATGAAAAAATTAAAGCTTGCCTTGGGTTCCAAAGTACCTGATTTGGCCCATTTCTTGAGATCCATGTGTTTCGTTTTTGTTTTCTTTGAGAGATTCGGATCCACTAGGCGATGGAAGTTGAACAGATGTGCGTGGAAATTCTTCGTACTCCCACTCTTATCTTTTTTGAATGGCTTTCCACAAATGCTTCCCTTTTTCGTAACAACCTGACAAATTGCTTGGTTGGATCCTTTGTCCTCCTTGAAGTGGTTCCAGACCCAACTACGCTTGCCGGACCCGGATACCTTCTCACCTTGGCTAGCCGCTAGATTCAATCTCTTCCTCCTCCAAGTTGATAACCTCGTGAATTTGACGTGTTGGCGGAGGAGTGGGTGGCCGTTGTTTTCGCTTCATTTTGGAGGGTAAATCTTCAGCTACAGAGAAGTCGGGTACTAGTACTTTACTAGTAGATCTGCCTCCAACTTGCCAAGGCTCCACGTACAAGAAAAAAAATCAAAATCCCCGGGGCTTCAGGGCAAACCCCGGAATTCCGGGGCTCGTTCCTCGGGATGACCCTCCAGCCCGTCCCGAACCCCGGGGTAATCCCTTAGGCCGGGGACAAGGGGCTTGATAAACGCACGCCACCCCCCCTGGCGCACGCCAAACCGCACGCCAGGTGCGGATTGGCGTGCACGCCTGCACGCCAAAGAAAATTGGCATGCAGGCCCGCACGCCAATCTACAGAGTGTAGACCGGCGTGCAGGCCTGCATGCCAAGGATTCGCCGCCGTCCCATAGGACCCAGGCATGGGTCCTATGGGACGGCCGCTTTTTTTCATTTCATTTCATTTTTTTTTTTCAAATCCCCTCGGCCTAAAGAGGCCGAGGTCACACCGGCTCGTCAGGAGGGGTTCCTCCCGGCAAGCTGGTTTCTTTACCAGCTCGTCGGAAGGATTCCCTTCCGACGAGCTGGTACATAACAACTTCGAGGCTAACCCAGATCGCACTGTAGACAACCTCTGTCATTGTAATACTCCCTTGTAGCACTCCAATTTGTTATATGAAAGTGTAATATTTGATGGCAAATACAAATAATAAATATGTTTACAATCATATAACAATTTTGAGGAGTGCGAGAATTCATAGCACTATGTATACAAATGTAAGCAAATATCTGAACGCAAGTTGCGTGCTGAAGAGCCAAGCTACCCATGACCACAATCATAACTAGAGACCGCTTCAATGGGCACAATAGCTTTAAACTCCGTCATAGAACAAGATAATTGACTGCATTCCAATCCAAAACACAAACAAGCATCTTTCTTTTCCCAATAAACAACCAACTCACAAAAAATAAAGGCAGATGAGGGGGGGGGGAGGTAGGATATACAGAAGCCTGTTAACCTCGGTCCGTCGAATCAAGAACTCATCGGTCTTTCCATTCGGGAGGAGCCCTCATCCCGGGTCTGGGTCTCAAACTTAGAGGTGCAAATTAACTGACGCTGACTATCTGGATTGGTCTGAGTATTATACGACAAGAGAGATCGGGTCAGCCCGAAGCCCAGAACGATTTTGTGCTGGTCGTCACAATGGACGGCGATCCAGATACTGATGGCATTGCCAACAACGAGTGCGCGTTGCAGGACGCGGTGTGGTAATTAAATATGTAAAAAATTCAAAGTTTTTTCTTTACACACATTTTTATCATAAATTCAATCAGAAATCAACCAATCCAACTTCAGAAATGGATTCTACGGACAATTTCAGCCTAGGTCACCACTGGACGCATCATTGGAACACTCATGGATTGGAAGTTACACCCCTACGGACACATATCACAAAGCCAACACTCAGTCAAGCACATGTGACAACCCTCAAATCACCTCTCAGTTATGCTTATACACAGCTCACGGTATACACATAATTTCCCACACCTCTTTATCTCCACCGCATAAATTAGTTTGGTTTTATTTGTCACCTCATGCACTGCCTTTGCAGGCTGCGCAGTCTTGATTGAATTACTTTTCCCACAGTTTATTAATTTTCTCACCTCACTTATGACAGCAGCTGGATTTTTCCCACAATTTATTCCCTAAGGTGACACTTTCTCACAGTTATTTACGCACTGCAGCACAGCCTTTGGACATTAATTGTACACAGCTCACTGGTTTAATTTCCCTCACCTTAGCATGGATCAGACTAGCTAAATTCACTCATTTGTACCTACAGGCCAGCTAAAATCACTCTTTCTTGTCTGCCCTGGAGCTAAATCCCTCACTTTTGTCTATAAAAGGAGGCTCTCTTCCCCCCCATTTGTTGTCTCCTCATTCCAGTTCATAGTTCACAGTTCATTCACTCAGTTCATCACTCAGCAGTCAATAAATATATAACTCACCAGTTACAAACATTTATATAAATCTTTCACCTGTTACACAACATAACAGTTTCTTTATAAGCAATTATATATTCAACTTTTACCTTTCATCAAACAAAGTTTTACCGGAACCGACCAATCCTATCACGTTATTAAAACTTTCCAAGCTAAGCTTGGGGGTCTTGTTTCTGATAGTATAGAAGGGCAGAGTTTGCACCTCCATCATCCCCTTCTCAATTCAGCAAAAGGGTTTCACAACCACTTTTGAGTCTTACAGCGGATGGGGCACCGACCCGGGCTGGAGATTTTCTCCACGGAAAAGTTCATAAAAAAGTGTCCCAATTGTTGATTGCGCATATGTATCTTGCGATGGACACAGATATCGAAATCAGAGCTGCCTACCAATTTCCGCACCTTGGGCCGGATGTCGTCAAAGGACCGGCTGAAGAATCAACTGGGAACTACTCGGGATTTATTCATCCCAGTCTTAGGTGGGAAACGAACGGCCAGTCTCAGGTGGTCAATGGATTAAGTTAGGATTCCGATTGAGCAACAATGCCTCCTCCCGGCGGGGTGACCTCGGCCTCTTAAGGCCGAGGGGATTTGAACAAAAAAAAAATGAAATGAAAAAAAAAAAAACAAAGGGGCCGTCCCATAGGACCCATGCCTGGGTCCTATGGGACGGCGGCAAAATTCTCGGCGTGCAGGCCTGCACGCCGGTCTACATTCTGTAGATTGGCGTGCACGCCTGCACGCCGGTCTACATTCTGTAGATTGGCGTGCGGGCCCACACACCGATTTTCTTTGGCGTGCAGGCGTGCACGCCAATCCGCACCTGGCATGCGGTTTGGCGTGCGCCAGGGGGGCTGGCTTGCGTTTATCAACGCCCCGGGGACAAAACGCAACACGGGGCCAGTGGGTATTTGATCACGTCGGGGTACTGAGATTGCTTTGAGGCCGGCATTGAGGATGAGGGCTAGCTTGTGACAAAAGCACCGGATATGATTCTTGGTGATTGAGAGGTCCTGATTGTGATTTGCGTCCTTCTTGAGCAATTGGTCGACTTTGACAGCCATTGTGAGGTTATTTGAACCTGAGTCAGTAGTTTGGGCTATAATGTAAATACAACAACAAAAATAATTGCTAATCAGCTAGCTGCTATGTCATACAAAGTTTAATACATAATAACAGAAATACTTATCTTATTGTTCAAGAGGGATTTGAGGAGGATGTTTGCCAATGGAATAGCCAGATATTTTCCCTTATGTGTCCAAGAGATATACTTAACCGACAGATGACAGACCTTAAATGTCCAACTGTCATCGATATAAGCCACGGTGATTCCTAGAAACGCATTTCGATTCCCCTTGGTCGTCCACACATCATGGATCAGGCTGAGCTTTGAGGTATTTGACTAAGATGTGCAATCCAGAGGAGCAATCAGCCAACTATTTGCTTGAACAAGAGGACAAAATAGATTCACCTGGAGTGTGTCCAACACCTTACTCTGCAAGTGGCAGTACAGCCGATGTGCTTCAGTGGCCGCCCAGATGCAGGTGTATGGCTTGGCAACATGTCGGAGATATCTGAATGCTATACCTAAAATGAAATCCTCAATTTGAAGCCACGGCAACAAATGACGAACAATCCAGAGGACGAGGAGCTGGTTGAAGGTGTTGTTGTCGAAATTGTTTCCGTCCACCATTTTCCGCATTGCGACCTGCTCGGGCTTGTTCTTCTGTGCTTTTTTCTCCTTCGCAGTCATTGGGAGCTTACACCCAGCCGCAATTGCCCTGGCTCGTCCTGGGCACGGTTCTCGGTTTGCGTTACCGTCTCGATGTTTAACAAGGTTTGCCCGAGTTCCTACCCCCTTCCGATAAGGGTTATCGCACCATTTACATTTGTAAGACAATGGTTCAGTCTAAAAAAAATATGAAAATTCAAACCACAATGTCAGTTGTGTAAAAGAAAGAAAACAAATAAAATGTTGAGGGGCACAGGGACCGAAACTGCGACTGAAGTCAAGACTCACTTGTGGGACTTGACAATGAGAAACTAGTATGTTGATTCAGTGAGGGAGAAAGTGCTACGAGGGAGTCCGGTGTTCAGTAGTAATGGAAAGCTTGATATAAGCATAACTATGTACAAGCATCAAGTACTACATACGGGATTCACCATCCCAACATAAAATAACATAAAAAAACTTACGTTGCCTTCTTCAAACACAGGGGGGTGAAAATACTCCTCTATCTTGTCAAACTCTGACTCCTTTGGTTGTGCCTTGGTTTTGTGAAGCTTGAATCGGCGGTTCGCATCATCTGAATCCTGTGTGAAGTCAATCATCTTTGCCGTCCCATGCGTTTCAGGTTCAGATTGAGATGAAGATTCTGAGTCGGACTCAGATTCGGAATCCCCGCTGGATACAAAAACCCTCTTGCTTTTGTGTTTCTTGTGCGTTTGAGAGGCCTTGGCCTTCTTGGTCTTGCGGGCGGCACGTGTCAAGGTTGAAGCCGAAGCGGACAATGGCCTTTGGGGACGTTTACGTGTTTGTCTTGCAGACGTCTGAGTTGCTGAAGAAGGGGGAAGGGCCTTGCGAGAATCGTTGCTGGGCCTGACAAAATTAGGGTCATTTCGGACTGGAGTGGTAATCCTTGTCGAATGTCGAGATGGAGGCCGAGATGCTGATGGGGTTCCTGGAGGAGGGGTGTTGGGCTGAGACCTGGAAGCAGGGGTTGAGGAGGTGGCCATGATCGAGTAGAGATTGTGAAACCGTTGTTTATGGAAGTTGCAGTGTTGTTGGTCCTTGGTGAAGAGTTTGAATCACTATTCTATGTCTGAAAAAAAAAGTCCAATGATATGTCAGTTGAGATTGATCTGTCATTTGATTGAATGATTAAAAATAGTAATCCATTCAATAAGAAAAATAAATAAAAAAACAAATACTCACCTCACACTAGAGACAACCCTGAATAAATGGGAAAAGAAACAAATGATGTCAGTGATGAACCATAAAAAAATAGTGAAGAACCAATAAATCATAATGATAATAGAAAAATTAATTAAGAAAAAGAAATAAAACAAAATAAATACTCACCTGACAATAGACAAAAACCTAAATGAATGGTCAAAAAAGCAAAAGTGGTCAGTGATGAACCATAAAAAATTGGTGATGAACCAATAAATAATAATGATGATGAGAGCAAACCAAAACCCAAGGAGAAACACACCTGACAGTACACTTCAAAGGGCAATCTAAAGAAACAACTGAAAAGAAAGTGAAAGTAAAAGTCAGTGGACTGGACAAGAGACCAAAACAAATTGAACAAAAATGACAGATCCGATCCGATACCCGATACCGGATCGTATCGTATTGATGACTCACCTCAGGCCCTGACTAGCTGTCTTGCACAACGAGAGAAACAAATGAAAGTGGTCGGGGGCGGATACCAAGTCGAGCCCACGACTCCAAGAGCAACAACAGCGGCTGCGGCTGCGGCTCGTCCGGCGAAACACCGACGAATCGGAGGGCAGGCCGGGAACGACGAGTGGCGGAGGCCGGGCGGTGTCCGTTCGAGTCCGAGTACGACCCAACGTTTGATGGGTGAAGCGACGAGGGGGGGGTCGCCAGATTAAGTATCCAGCGACGAAGCGGAGGGCAGGGGCCAGGAACAACAAGTGGGGGAGGCCGGGCGGTGTCCGATTGAGTCCGAGTCCGACCCAACGTTTGGTGAACAATGAAGCGACGAGGGGGGGGGGGTCGTCAGATTCCAACACAGACAAAGCGGGAGGGAGGGCAGGCCGGGCATACAACGACAAGTGGGGGAGGCCGGGCGATGTCTGTTCGAGTCCGAGTCCGACCCAACGATTGATGGGTGAAGCGACGAGGGGGGGGGGTCGGTCGTCAGATTCGAGCCGAGGTGAGGACGATCGATGGGGGGGGGGGGGTAGTGATGGGGTGGTGGGAATATGTAGTACTGGGAGTCGGACTGGAGGGGTGGTGGGGTGGGGTATTAGCAGTATACTGTCGGAATTGAAGACCGACCCAAATAATGTGGGCGGGCCACAATACAGGATCGGGGAAATCTTGGATCGGCTTGGGCGATACCAATACCAAGTTCCCACGCGGCTCGTATTGGATCGCCCCAGCTGATCCCAATCATCTGATAAATCAGGATTGGATTGGAAAAAACAATCTGATCCCGATACACGGTATTGGCGGACATTTCGATCCGATCCCCGATAAATACCGATCCGGGGATTGGATCTGTTACATCGTTGCTCTGGGTATAATGGTCATCAAGGTTGATTCCTAAATTAATATTAGCCTGACCATTTATTGACAGCAAACACTCTCAGTCTGGATTTTTTGATAAACACTGGGGAGTTACATACCCACAATGGTAGCATCTACATATAACTAAAAAATAGGCTTACAGAACCAAAAAAACTGTCATGCAATCTAACACTGGTTTTGAACTCCAACTCACATTTGTCGACACCAATGTTGGACCAAGACAGACAGGCGTGCAACTCAAGAAAAAAATCCAAGTAAAATACAAATTGGGGAAAATAAAATTACTGACCAAAACTCCCCAAGAAAAGGGGGCATGTACAGTGGGTGGACCGTTATTTTTGGCGGCTTGTTTTGGATTCCAGAGGTTCAAAGCACAAACTTGAGGTCAAAACAATTGGTGAAGTGGTGCAGAATAGGTCCCAAAGAATGAATATGAAAAAATAAAAACAAAAAAAAAGTTTCAAAATTTGTGAAAAATAAAAAATAGAAATGTTTTTTTCCAGATGCTTTGTTATTGATTTTGGGGGAGTGGGAGTGCTGAGAGAAAGAAAGAGTGGAACATGGCAAGAATGATTATAAATGAAAAAAAATGGAACCAAAAAAGGGTGAGCCAGGTTGGCTGTCCAGATTGGATCCAAAACAGTAAATTCTAGTGCTTTACTACAATGTGAGCTGGTGAATGCCCTACTCAACAGATGTTTAAAACCAACTGGTAACCATTTCTTTTAGGATTTTCATTTATAATCATTCTTCCAATTGGAAATTCTTTCTTTCTTCCAGCACTCACACTCCCCCAAAATGAATATTAAAGCTTTTGGAAAAAATATTTTTATTTTTTAGGGTCTTAGTTAAACGACTCCCAGAAATTGGAGTTCCGACTCCCAAATTTCTGGGACGTCTAGAGGACCATCTGTGGACGCTCCTCCGGACGTCCATGGGAGTCGGACCTCCAAAACCTTCAAAGGTTTTGGGAGTCGTTCCCCTTATAAAAAAAATAAAAAAAAAAAAAAAATGAAAAAAATAAAACCCCCCCGGGGGTTTTTGGAGAGATCCCTCTCGGCCGGCGAGAGTTGTACACTCTCGGCTGGCGAGAGTTGTACACTCTCAGAGGCCAAGAGTCGTACACTCTCAGCAGCCGAGAGGAATCCCTCTCCGCCGTTGAGAGCATGCACTCTCAGCAGCCGAGAGGTATTCCCCTCGGCCGTTGAGACCATTCATATACATATGTAGTTGTTTAATTTTTTTATTTAATTTTTTAATTTTTTATTTAATTTTATTATTTTTTTGTTAGGGGAACGACTCCCAAACCTTTTGAAGGTTTTGGAGTTCCGACTCCCAATTTCGGGGTTGGACGTCCTGAGGACCGTCGGCAGACGGTCCTCTCGACGTCCCAGAAATTTGGGAGTCGGAACTCCACTTTCTGGGAGTCGTTTAACTAAGACCCATTTTTTATTTTTCACAGATTTCAATTTTTGTTTTTATTTTTTCATATCCATTCTTTGGAACCTATTCTGCACCACTTCACCAATTCTTGTGACTTCAAGTTTGTGCTTTGAACCTCTGGAATCCAAAACAAGCAGCCAAAAATAACAGTCCACCCACTGTACATACTAGTAAACATATAGTGATTTTCCACTCATTATAATCAATTTCCCCATCATGCTCTGAATTTTTTTGCACATCAAATTATCCAACATTCACTTTATTCTATTAGAAACTGCTAGTTGTTTTGGGGGAAAACCCTAAATATTGATAAGACATATGCTGCTTTTAGTCAAGTTATGGCATATGCTTTTTCCAATGCCCAAAAAAGAGAACATTTTTGCAACTTAAAATGTGTTTAGGGTTGCTTAACTTCTAGATAATGTGATAATCAATAAGATTCAGTGAGGAAATTCTTAAGAGCCTTGCTACTTCAGAGCACTAGATGGGAGGCTGAAATTTTGGCTAAACTCAAGATAGGTGTTTAACAGGATCCAGAAAGTTTTTTGTGAAGTTTAAGCTTTAATTTGCACTCAGGGAACCTTAGAGGTTCCTAAGGTTGGAATTCTGAGCTTAGCTTAAGGCTAATATTAGGCTCAGAAGTTTCTAATAGCGGGGGTCATAATAAGCTTTTTGCTTCTTGAAACCAGCTTGATTTCTCCCTGGCTCTGGAAAGTCTGTGCTTGATTTTAGCCTTAAATTAAGCTCAGAATTGCAGCTCAGGAACCTCTAATGCTTCCTGAGCTCAGGAAACTTGAAGGGTTCCTGAGCGCAAATTAAGGCTTAAACTTCACACAATCTTTCCTTGATCCTGTAAAAAGCTAGCTTGATCTAAGCTAAAATTTAATCCTCCCATCTAGTGCTTGAAAATACCAAGGCTCTTAAGTATCCTCTTCACAAGAGCTTATCATGAACCCTGCTAGTCCAGGAAAAATATAAGCTGGGTTCAGGAAGCAAAAAGCTTATTGTGAACCTTGCTATTCATCATAAAAAAATTAATCATTACACTACTGAGTGAGTTAAAAAATCCCCACTACAGATAATGTTAATGTGTGACTCAGGGAAGGAATCAAGTTTGCCACATTACTGGGATAATGGAGATATCAAAGCATAAAGAAGCGGCCCAGCATTGAGAGGTTGCCCTTTTGGTATAAATTTTTAGGTCCTCCCAAGACTCATTATAATCTATTTTGTTCAGCTGAAAATCATACCAAGACTGTCTTAATTGGTTGGTTTTCCTTTCAATGGCAGAAACAGGCTGTGATCCAAGTTAAAAAATACCAATTGGAGATCATGTTGTTAATCCAAATTGCTCATCTCAATTTCTGTCAATTAAAATTCTGAATTGAGACAATTTTTGTCATGGTTATTAGTCAAAGATTCATACATTAGGCCCTGTTTGGCCACAAATCATGATATTCAATTTGGCTAAGGTCTGGCGTGGATTTGGACCATGTGATATCAAACAATAAAACTTGCACCAAATCTTGCCTCCAAATTAAAAACTGTGGATGGTAGAACACAGTAATATCTGCTGAATATTCTGCTATTAAAATTACATTTTGCAAGAGAAAATGGAATACATACTAGTACAGGTAGAGGGATAAGGGAAATGGGAAATGGGAAAGAAAACAAACCAGGAGGAAATTCTACAAAGTTGAATGAAATTTATAGGAAACTGAAGATTCAATCAAGTTTGAAATCCAAATCAACTACTGCAACAGATTCATGGAGGATTCTACCCTGTTTTTTTTTTTTTTTTTAATTTCTTAAATTTTGAAAATTATTTACTAATTTTTGAATTAACGCTACAACCAATTGAAGCAGCTTTTGAAACTATCTACACAAAAATAGAACAGCACAGTTGATAGAAATGATTATTGGGGATTTTGAAAACTGTAATATATACAATTAAAAGAGCAGCTCACAACAAGTTCTCTCTCTGATGAACTTACATAAGAAGGATAGTCAAATTAAAATTGAAGGGAGGCAGGTAAATCAAGGTGGTCGTTTATATTTGTTTGGAGTAGTTGAGGCAGTTTGGAGTATGTATCCGGTGACAAAGTAAGTGTTTCCTTTTGTTTCAGATTCACATCCTCCAAAAATTTTATTTAAAGAATGAATACTTTCAAATTATGAAGCGAAAGTATCAGCCTTTAGTTGATCAAAGCTCATATTCTTTCTTGTATTGACAATGGCTTACAAGGGCTGCATAGGGGACTTCCCTAGGTTTTGTTAATTTGGTGTCTTCCTGTGTGCATGGGACTTTGGCGAGTTGTCCACCACGGGTTGAGGTTCTGAAAATACTTTTGGCAAAGCCTGTTGCTGGAGTGACCTTTAATTGTAACCAATCTGCGTTTCGCTCGGGCTTACCAGGAGACGGGGTGCTAGCCACTTTGCCTGCATTCATTGTTTGACCTTGAACTACAAAGACCGGATGTGGCTTTCCTGAGTTTCCCCCAGCTTGAGTGAAAAAATGTTTCCCAACGTTCTTGAACCCTCCGTCCCCCAAGATCGGTCGAGCGGCGGTACTTCTCCCCCCTCTCATCAACTCGTCGGGTATTTTTTCTGGGCTTGGGACTCCAGTCAGGTCGAACAGATCAGCGGCTAAAAACACATGACAACCAAAGATGTTAGAAATTCTTTATCGAAATCAAAATGTAAGTTGGAGATGAAGTTCCTCCCACAACCATCCCGACAAAGGGTACTAACATGCTCCGGCAGAAGTCCAAGTAAGCGCTGTCCCACCGGGAGCGGCAGCGCATTTGTAGAGCTGAAAGCCTTTTCCTAGGGCCACAAAGATCTTCTTTTCTCCGGCTGGAATCTTGAGGTCACTACCCCTAGGGAAAACTAGGTCGGTAGTAGTCTGCGCCATCACTAATACACCAATCCAATTGGTTAGCACAATGGTTCGAAGACGATAAAACATCATGAAGAGGTTTGAGACAGCTATATTATAAGAACTTCAAATACAGTCGATCTGTTATTGACAATGTTATTTTTTTTTTTTTAAAAAAACTAGCGCTGTGCGACTCGGTTTAGATGCGGTGTAAGATGAGGCTTTTCAAAAGCAAGGTTGCAGAAGGACTTGGGGAAGGCGCCCTTGACTTGATGGAGACTCCCTGTTCTTATGAGGTCGGATTTTACTGATGAACTCTCGAGTGTTTTATGTTGACATGCCAATCCAACCCGACCCGACGGGTCTTTGACGACCGGTCTCGACTGCAATGGACTTCATGAGCCATTTCTCACATTCAAATTATGAACTCGGGGGTGGACTTCACGTTGTACTCATAACAACATGGCACTTGCAAGCTCCAAAGACCGACTCCAATCATGACCGAAGCTCCGACGCAAGGGTACACATTCCACATATTCATTTGCCAACCGGCTCCGGGTTCGTAATACTAAAGGGTTACCCATTGTCCAGTGAAATTGTGAATTGTTGGCCCCGATGTTGTGGTACATATGAACTTTAAACAGCTGCGAAGTCAAGGTCTCCCTGATCAGGTCCCCAGGCAGGTGGAGTCAATGGACCCACTAGATGGGACCCGCGCCCAAGCTTATCCCGATGCACTAGGCCGGCCCGGGCCTACCTGGCTCGACTCCGAGTGAGGGTAGAGAGGCATTCCGGTGGGGACGCTTCTTATTCAGAGCGTCCACCCAATGACGTATGCTGCTCTGACTCTCGAGGAAAACATTTACAACCCCTCACGCACGAAGGACGACCATCTTATCTCCAGACTTCGAAAGAAAAACCAACAATCTCACTGCAGCAATCCCACTTTCAAAACAAAGAAGTCTACAAACAGTTGTGATGTCGCCTTTGATCTTCAGTTTCCCTCAGGCAAGTACTGTGATAGTTTTGAAATTCTGTGTCACCATACGGCCACCCGAATCTTTTGACCATACTGATGATATTCAATAACCGAATTGTCCGTCGTCATCTAGGATTACGGGTATGTCACCCTTGCAGCAGCGTCTACTGGATTTCTAGGTGAGCGAGCCGGTTGATATCCATAGACACTCTTATATTCTGGTAGAATGGTGATTGATCTTGATTTGATGAATGTTGCTCTCGGGATCGCCATGTTTCGTCCAGGCTTGTTCCAAACCATGGCCGTAGGCAGGGCGCGCAAGGCAGCCAAAGTGCCGTACCCGATCGCCTATGTCTCTCACGAGGAGGCGCTTGGCGACCCAGCTAAGATGAAATTCAATTGTGCTCAACGGTATGTGTTCATCAAAAGACTTCCGCCACCAAAACCCTATTCTGCCGGTCGCTAACCTCGTTTTCAATCCTTTTAACCTACCTATCCACGCTGTTGACCTCGTAATTATAATCACCAAAAAGCGCACATGCCAACACCTTAGAATCGTTACCCTTTTTCCTGTTCAGGTCTGTGGATTGGCTAAGATGTGTCATTTGCATGTTAGTTTCTGACAAGACCATCATCACTTTCTTTTCCCCCAGTCTGCTATTTACTGGCCTCAGACACCCTCGTTTTTCAGCCAGCTGTGGTGCGCTATGGGTCGTTGGTGAGTATAATATCTTCATCCATAACATAACTGCAGAGGGTTTTCTATTCTTTGTTGTTTTCTGATCATTGCTTTCCTTGATTCAATATATCTGTCAAGGTCGAGTTTTCTATACTCTAGGTTACAACACTGGAGACCCTGCTAAACGATCCCGAGGTGTATTCCATAATTTCGGGACTCTAGGTAAGCGTTTGGAGTTGCTGAATCTGGGTACTGGTCTACAAATCACTAATTTTCACCCTTTCAAAATAAACAATTCTGCAGGTCTTTTGTTAGGCTCTACTTGGGTGTCATTACAAATGGTGATGGAGACTTTTTGATGGAGGCATATATTGGAAGATGCACGAAAAATATCTGATGTAGCTCATTCAAGATGGCTACTGATCATTACCTTGAAAGCTTGTAGCAGATTTATGACCAGAGATCCAGGTTCAAGTCACTGTAAATGTATCTTGACTGCTTTGGTGCCTCATATTTGTGGTAGCAGCCATGGAGATTCGAAAGAGTGACTGCTCTTGTATAGACACGGTATGGACCCTTATTATCGTGTCTCTGCGATGTGACTGCCTAGACAAACCATGGGATGACATGCGAATTCTTGGTGGGCAATTTTCACACAAGGTTTGCTGCAGTGAGGATATAGTGAGTTGGGTAAATTGATTTTTTTCCTTTGGTCTTCGTGTTGGGGGTGAGGCTTTGGCCGATTCAACATGCCAGAATAATTTGAGCGAGGCACATGCCCCACCAAATTTATGTATGAGGGAAATTTGCTGTTACAGACATTAAGAGAAAACTGCCCTTTTCCTTTTCTTGGATTGATGAACATTGGTTAACTGACATTAAGGTGCCAAAAGTCTGTTTCTATCAACATTATGGCGTTCTAGCTTTTTGTAGTACCTCGTGCTGGAAAGTATCCTTTCCAATTACATACTTATCTTCGGGACTCTATGTAGCCTGAGTGTGCATGGGGATGGACTTGTACTTATCAGCTCGGCGTCGGAGTATTCAAGGAGTATTTAAGGTTTAATCGGGATCTGTTGGGAATTGCAGGTTGAAGGGGGGCTGTGAAGACTCAAGAGTTGCCAAGACACACCAAAACCAAAACCAAAACCAAAAACCAAAACCAAACCAATCACCAGCAAGAAAAAAAAAAAAAGCAGGAGATGGTCTTGCAGGACAAATACAAACGGGCAACTTCCAGTCGATATCGGGCAACACATGGCGGGATCCAATCGAACCGACAGAAAGCCAAGCTAGCAGCAGCAACTGCAACACCCTCCATCGTCGACCCCTCATCATCATCATCATCAGCAGCGAACGGAAAGCAACACCAGGACTTCCCCGAGCTCGTCCATCCGTCCTCCATTCAACCTATAACCTCTGAAACACAACTCGGACGACCAAAGACCGATGTCGAATCCCTCGGAGATCATACTCTTGCGTCTCACACTCCTGCTGCCTCCTTCGCTCGCCGGCAATTGGCATCCAATGCCGATCGCTATCTCGAACCCGAACCAGATCCTAATCTAGGTAAGAAAAATCAAATTCACATACTTCTATCTCATTGAAGGCGGTTTCTTTGACATCAAAGAAGAGCTTTTTTTTTTCGGCGAGAGTATTTCCCACTGATTCTTTTTGTGTGTGTGTGTGTGTGATGGTTGGGAATAATGAAGAGCCTGAACCGGAGATAGACCTGACGAAATTCGTGGAGAAACAGCAGACGAGGATCGCCGCCGAAGAAGAAGCGCGAAAGCAGGGCCGAGGGGGCAAACACGACGAAGAAGGAGAAGAAGATGTGGACGCGAGTTTCGAGCATTTGTTCCAGCATTCAACGCGCCCTCGGCCGGGCCAACCGCACGCTTCGATGGCATCTAAAGGCAAACCTACCAAAGTATTCATCGAGGATCGGCGGACGTTAGGACTAGACGCGCTTGAGGATGAGCGGAAGAAGGCCGATGCGAGTCGAGGCAGGTCTTTCTTCTACACACCTTCCTTTCCTTTTTTTTTCTCTCTCTCTCCGACGGGAGCCTGTGCGAAGCTTCACCCGAATGAACCCCTCCACCTGTCTCCTTTTCTCTGACCCTTTCTCTTTTCTTGTTCGTGGGTTCATTATAATGTGTCGACAGACCTGATCGCCCGCTTTAGCGCTGCTCAACTCAACCCCTCTAAGTCGCCCGCTGGGTCGGCTCGAAACATTCGACCATCCGTACGATCGAAGCTCTCTGATTCGACTGCTAAGACCTCCGCTTCGCTCTCCACTCCAAAAGAACTCGTTCTTCCTCGTCAGTTCTCTCTTCTTCTTGTTCTTCATATGTCGCTAGGTCCACTTAATCAATCTCTATCAATACTTATTCTTCTCTCTCTCTTTTCTCCCCTCTTATTCCATTATATTTAGTTGATGATGAAGATTTTTTGGATGAAGTCTTGAACGATTCATCAGGAACCTACGGAAAATTCAAACGCACATGATCTTCTCTACTATTACTGACCAAATATTCCAGCTCAATCTTACTATGAATGATCATTTTATTTCTCGGTTGTCTTTCTTCACACTTTCTTGTATACACATCATGTAATGTGACCTCGAGGAATCAGAACCAAACTCTTACTAACCTCCCAACATAATCTCGTGTATCATTTCCCACAATGTCTTCATATACTAATCTTTCATTGGCTTCTGTAACTGCTGAACAGTTGATCAATAGAATAAAAAAACATGCTAATAACTTTTCTTTATAATCAAAACACGTCAACAGATAAAGCCTTCCAAGGCATAATGATACATAGGTGGATGACTTTTCTTCACACAGAGTCTGTAAAGTAACTTCTAAGATGAGCAGATGGTTAAGACAGCACAGAACACGACAAAAGAAAAACAATAACTTAGAGTCCAACAGATCCGCATGAAGCTTGATGAGGTCTCCTTTGCAGGCAAAGAATCGATTTAGGTTCACTTGTAAAAAGATTTACAATCTTCGACGTCGTCAGTGCTGCCCAAAAAGATAGGGATCCTCTGATGAATGTCGGTAGGGATGACATCGAGAACTCTCTCGGTACCGGTGGTTGCGGTCCCACCAGCCTATCCGATCAAGGTCACGAGATTCAAAGTTCTGATCAGTAAGCTAAAGATTGAGATTTGATGGATGTGGTGATTCGCAAAAGGCTGGCATGCACACCTGTTCAGTTAAAAAGGCCATCGGGAACCCTTCATAGAGAATCCTCAATTTACCACTAGTCGATTTCTTATCAGCCGGATAACTTGAACGCAAAGAAATGGATGAGTGGTTAGTTTTTGCAAGTCACACATGGGGAGAATGTTCCACATGATCCGAAGAAAAAGGTGACTCACCCAAAGATTCCGCCATATAAGAGCGTTCGATGGACATCAGCAACCATACTGCCAATGTATCTGGCTGAGTAGGGTTTCCCATTGGCTGGGAACTTGATACTTTCCAAGTATTTGACCACAGGTTCGTGGAAGAACATCGTGTTACCCTCGTTAAATGAGTAGATCTTTCCCCGTTTTGGGACCTTGATGTCCGGATGAGTCAAGATGAATTCGCCAATTCCCTACAGAGAATGATCGTTATATGATTGAGAGGCCAGTCATATCTTCTCTCCCTTCCAAAATTATATATAAAACGAAGCAAAGAAGGAATTCATTTACATTGTCTAGAGTGTATCCATTGACTCCTTGGCCAGTCGAAATCACTAAATTGGCACTCGATCCATACATGCAATAACCAGCAGCAACCATCTCCTTTCCAGGCTTGAGCACATGCTTAAGGCCAGCCTCTTCTCCCTCCGGCTGAATAAACAACGACAACAAAGATGAATATGAGCGTTGAGCTCCAGGGTTTCTGAATGTAAGTCGGGCTTTATTTTGGAGGTGAGGGGGGGAGTGGAATGCTAATTGGAAGATGTCTTACCACTCGATAGATTCCAAAGATCGTTCCAATGTTCACACCAGCATCGATATTTGAACTCCCATCAAGGGGATCAAAGACCACGCAATATTTCCCCTTTTGTCTCGGATCCTCCACCATTATCAGTTCATCCTACCCGCACATACACACAGACAGATAGAAGAGGAAAGAGGTTGATGGTTGGTTGATTTTAGAACTATCTTTGGGTCTCAATTTGTTTGGTTTATTTTTCCGCTGAAATCGCTTACGTTTTCCTCTGAAACCATCAAGGCCACCTTTCCGCAGGCTCTAAGTGAGTTGATCATGATGTCATTCGAAAGCACATCCAACTTCTTCTGCTCTTCGCCTTGAACATTTGTGATTCCAGCGGCGCCGATCCTACATTAATGGCCATCCTCTGATCAGTATTAATGATTCTTTGTGATCAAACATTCGGTCTTGACATTAGAGGTAAGATAAAAAAGAAACAGGAGATTCCATTCAGACTTACAGGTTAAGAAGCCGGGCCCGACGAACGTTGGTGGCGATGAACTTGCAAGTGGTTTGGATGGCGGTCAGTAAGATGGTCAGGTCACCACTGGCCTGGGGAGTTCTGGCCTGAGAATTAAGCACATGGCGGGTGCTTGATAGAAGGAAATTATCGGCGGACATATATGAAAAAAAGCAGATGGACGTTAGTTTTGGAGGGAGTCTCTGGATGGATATGTGAGGATATGGTGAATTGTGCTGCTTACAGGGTGATGATCTCAGTGCTCATTTCCTCCGACGACATGGTAATCTACTCTTTGCTATGTTTTAGTTTGAGAATCCACCTGGTAGGATAGTTCAGTTGACTGGGAGTTGGGGATGAAAGTCAGCTGATATTCATACATTCATACAAATATGTATGATATTTCCTGGGGGTGGCTGTCCCTCCTTTTGATCAAAGCCTCAAAATATATTGGAATATCATTTTGTCTTCAGTTGACCACTATGACGTCATCAGCCCAAATGGTCATCGGATTCGGATCATCCTCAGTCGCACAGCTGATCGGATTGAGCATTAATCGATTGGCTTAGTCAGATCACGAGCTGAAAAATCATCACCAATAATTAATCCAGTCCGATTTTGTTGAGCTTGGCTTAATTCATCACGAGTTCCCTGGATGAGATGTTGGAGCCAGCATGAACACTCTATAAACATCCTTACGACACAAAATGTCTTGTTTACGTTATAACTATCAACGAGATTCTGCAAGATGACACTACAGAAACAACGAGAAATGAAAAGTGTATGTTATATGGAACTATTAGTCGAGGGGTAAGAATGGGAAGGGCTGAAGATCCAAGGGGAAAAAAAAAAGAAAAGCCAACGAGAGAAAGAGAGACACAAAACATAACAAAGAGAGTGGAGGAGAGAGAGATCCAAGATACGAAGAACTAATGAGGGAGAGCCCACAATTTGAAAACAAAGAACGAGAGTAACTACAACTTGGAGCTAGGAGGCTCCAATAGGTGAGCCAATTCCTCCGGTAGAGCTCCACCCCCACCTTTCAACATGGAAGCCAACATCTGCTCCATCTTAGGATCCATCTCAATCCCCGAAGCTGCGAACTTTTCAGCCAAACCTTTGATAATGTCTTGAGGGTAGAATTGCGGGTAATACTTTTGGATCCGGCGCTTTTCGGAGTCTAAGAGCGCCAGACGTTGTTCGGTTTCTGGGTCCAACTCGGCCAGATTTTTCGGGAAATCGGGCCCATCCTTGAGCTTCCTGATGCTCTCGGTCAGCTTCGTATACTCCGGATTCCAGCGCGTGACGTCTTGGACTAACATCGGCCTTAGATTCTCTAATGCTTCCTTGTACTTATTGACGTATCTTTTGCGGAACCTAGATTTCGAGATCGCATCTGTATAGACCTTCAGCAGCTCATCAATCTCTTCAACCTTTCGTCCTACCACTTTCTTCCATCCGATTTGGTTGATTAGCTGGTGATCGGCCTGGTCGAGCTGAAAGCTCTTCCGTTTCATCTGTCCTGATAGCTTATTGGTCAGTTTTACCTCCTCCTTCGAGAATTCAAAGCCCTTGTACTCGAGAATCGATAGTCGGTTGATTGCCTTCCGGACCTCTTTAGGGGTATCCTCCTCCATCCGACTCCTGAGTGTCTTCAACTGGAGATAAAGCTTGTCTTGTTTCCATTGCTTTCTTCTAAAGATCGATCGCCAGAAATTCACGATACCGGACCACCATCTTGTTAATCGATGCTCCCGCTGGGCTGCATTCCAACTGGCGGCCTCTTCTGGTGGCGGGAAATCATTTTTCATACCTTGGTGTAGACGATTTGCCTCGGTCACCCCATGCTGTTTGATGGTTTCTTTATGTTCCTCGACCGCCCTGTCCTGATGTCGAATCCGTTCAAGCAATTTATCTTCATTAATCCCTTCGAAAACCAGCCCCCTCATCCAGAGCCTCTCCTTCATCACCAGAGGCTTCATGCGCCCCTTGTTCATGTCGAGGTCGTTCAGCTTGGAACCTATCGTGATTTGAGCCTGAGATTATGTTGTTTCTCTCTGGCTTCCCGGCGCCATGCAAGAGACTGGAATCAGACGTAGCATGCAAAGCTTCAGTATCCTTGACCACATTTGGGACAGCAGGACCGACCACCCCGTTTGGGCTGCTGAGGATCACTATCAAAATGTTCAAGTATATGGCGGAATTGCAGAGGATCAACATAATCGTTTTCGCCGCGGCCGTTCTACTGCTAGTTTTCCTAGAGCTTCTCTGACCAGAAACTACTGGCTCAATCTGCATGATGGCTTCGAGTCTAATTTGCCAGAGTCCTAATTGAAGTAAGCAATCTAATTTATTCGTTATCCTATTATGCGATAGAGTATTTATCTTCTGGAAGGTATTATAAACGCTATCTCTGAGAGATAATCTACTGGATTAATTCTTGAAAGAGTCAAAGTCTGAAGTGCAGACAGAGAAAGGGCGAAAGTGAGCGGTTCAACTTATAGATATTGAGGCTTGGCCGAGCAAAGTGCACGATTGATCTCGGATGATGCAGGGCCATCGAGGAGCGGACTGGAGGAGGGCTTTTAAACCATCCGCACCAGCAGCCAGATACAGAACTTGTAGCGGTTGCAGATAAGTGGTTCATCGGCTCGTGTTGGGCATTACAACTATGCTATACTGTGTGATGTTCGGTCATGAAAGACCTCTCCGGCGTGACTGCAACTCACGTACTGTACTACGGCTGGGCGAGCGGGCCTGTACAACATACCCGATTACACCTCCCCCGCTCGAGCAAGTCTCGGAAAACAAGTTGAAAGAGTGACATAAGGGAAATTTGAGACTTCCTCGAACGAAAGGCCTCTTATTTGTCTTTGAAACGGCGAAAGGCAAGACCTCTCAACGAGCAGGTTATTGACCTACTTAGTGAAAGCTCTTGCCTTTCGCCAAGCAAGTTTTTATGCTGCTTGATGTAAAAGGTCTTGCCTTTTGCCAAGCCGCTTATTAAGCTGCTCGGTGGAAAGTCTTGCGAGTGCTGAAAAAATTGAAATATTTACATATGTAAAGGGTATCCCAGCCACCAGCCAAAATAATAAAAATAGAAACGGACGGTGTCAGCCCATTCCCGCCAGCACTGGCCACGAACAAACTACTGGCTCAGACAGTCGACCACAAACACAACTCCGAGTTATGGCCACAGCCGATCTGAGAACTGGAACTCAAGAGGGACTCAACCACTTGGAACCAACTAGCAACAACCGACAGGGAAAACAAATAATCAATGGGCGCTGCCGCTGGTTTTGTTTTCTCATGTGTTGCTCATGGGGGGCCAGGCCAGTTTGACTGGGTGTGTCAAGTTACGAAGGATAGGCGTTGTTTTTATTGTTGAATGAACATGAACAAAAAAAAGGTAAGGAACAGCAAGTAGGACGTGTAGTGCGGCGACATACAACGCTCTTGGGAGACTACTCTATTTTTAATATCCTCTGGGTGCAACAGGAGCTGGGTGATGAGGATGTCGAAACGGAGAAATGGACAATCAAGGTGAAGTAATGTCGGTATAAGTCAATGCAACAGGAGCCGGGTCATGAGGATGCCGAAACGGAGAAATAGATAATCAAGCTCAAGTAATGCAGGTATAAATCAACGGGGGACTTGTGGGTTTCAGCTGCTGGCAGCCTGGAGTTTCTTCCTGCACAGTGTGGCGCGGCATGGGTCGATGTGGGAGGGAGAGGAGGAAGAGGAAAAGGGTCAAATGGGAATACGCCGCGTGGAGATGACCAGGGCAAGGGGGTGCTACCGACGATTCAGAGCGGGGCAGGTGATTGGGGCTCGGGTGTGCTGGCGACAAGTTAGACTCTGTAGCATGAGGAACAGCCTGGTGTGGGATTGCCAAACTTGTCAGGTTGGGGTGGGGGACTTAGGTGTAAGATGGAAGAGAGAGAGACTCACTCATGTAGACTGCATTGTTAGCGCCGTTCCCTTTGACACTGTAATCACAGTCCGCCCATCCGCCCTTTGGGTTAGGGACGGCTACGATGTATGGAGGTGAGGTTAGCTGGGGATTCGTTTTGTGGAGTCAATTCGCCTTCTTTGACTCACAGGCATAGCCATCCTGATCTCGGCGATAATATTGGGTGGCGTATATGTACTGATCTGTTCTAGCAGATGGGTTGCCGGGAGCGTGACAACCTTGATAGACAATTTGAGCTGATGTATGTTTTGCGCGGGGAGGTATGGGGAAAACACAGGGGTATGATCAGTCGCTGGTGATTGGTTTTGAGAAGTGCAAATAGGCCATCATCGAAATCCAAACCAACGGAGGGCAAGACCGTTGAATCGGCAGGTTGAGGGGACGCAGGAGTTATCCTGCTCAGGACTGGACTGGCAAGCTGAAGTTAATGGAGGATGATTCAAGGGTGAGCGATGCTGTTGAAGAATTGGGGGGTGAGGTTGATTCTGCTTACAGGACCTGCCAGGGACCTTGCCTTTGATGTCCCAGTGGTAGGTGCAGTCCATTGCTGCAACCTGGCCAGAGTAAAGTGTAATGAGGGCAGCTACTAGTGCGAAGGCAAGGTAACCTCTTTGGAAGACGTTGATGAGGGACATGGTGAGTTCTTGTTGCTGTTTGATAAGGTGGATGGGATGAGAGCTGGACTGGCTGCGACTTCAATGGGTGAGGGAAGGTCGCTGATGGGTACATAGGAGCAAATTCATTTGCTTATATACACAGGCCTTCCCCCCTCATGTGCACTTGGGTGGTTGGCTGGTGGCCACTGAGCCACGCTTAGCCAAAGCCGAAGAGGGTGCTGTATGTCCTCGACGGAAAGCTCCTGCGATGTCATGATGGTCGCGGCGTGTTGAGAGGGATGACAAAGGCGGCGAAATCAACAAGTATGGTCCTGTATGGCCACCGAAATCCTTCTTTTGCTTCTTTACAGATCCTAGCTAGGGTCCAGGCGAGAAATGCGGTGAAGGAAAGAGGGAAGCATCGGGAACATGAACCCGTGCAGGCCGGTGGTGATCACGCGCTGCTGCTCGAGTGTGTAAACCGACTGCCCAGGTCATGAGAATCGGGTACAGGATTACAGAACCAGGTTGAACATCGGTGCTTGTATGTAAGTTGTGCAAAGGGAGAGAGGATTGGAACAGGTCAATCTTTTTGGGAATGGAATTGAAGCTATAATAAACCAAACAAAAGCCCGTATCACCACCAAACCCACAGCCAGACAAACAAGAGAAGAAAAGAAAACCAGGCTGTACTTGTACACAATATGCGAACAAGCAAAGCAAAACAAAAAGAAAATAATTTACGTTTGGGAGGGGATCGAAAAGAAGGAGTACAGCGGACGGCATAGACTGACCCAGGATTTTTTCAAACTTAACTAAGTCCTCTCTTTATTCGGAGGGGGGACGCCGTCTCGCAGACACCTCTCGGAAGAGGAGACTTATGCGCTAGGTGCGCTGCTTTGCCCATGAGGAATAGTAAATAAGCGACTATTTTTCAAAGGCATCTACAGGCAACGGGTCGTACATGAAGCCCAGCAAGTCG